GAGTGAGTACCTCCAGTGCTGTCTCAGTTTGCTGAAAGATTTTAATTTGTATTCCATCAATTATTGGAGCCTTGTTTTTTGCCAATGCCTTCAGAGCAGCTTGAATCTTCCTTCAGTGCCCTTGTTTCTTGATCATATGCTACCTCTTGAAGTGGTTGAACATCAACCATTTCTGCAGTGATTCTGAATATATTTTCCATCTTCTTTTGATACTTTCTGCGTCGTTCAATATTTTGCCAAAAGAATCCTTCAGCGTTTCAAGTTGAAGTTTGAATTTTTATTTCAGCTCTTTCAACTCGAGAGATGCTGAGTATGTATTTCCCTTCTGGCTTTCTAACTCCTAATCTTTGCACATTTCATTATAACATTTGACTTTGTCTTCTGGAGACGACCTTTGAAATTTTCTGTTTGGCTCTTTTACCTCATTTCTTCAATTTGCTTTAGCATATCTATGCTGGATAGCAAATTACAGAGTCTCTTGTGACATACATTTTGGGCTTTAATTTTTTCCTTGTGTTTTTAACAAACTTTTGCTTTCTTCCTGTAGGATGTGTTTGATGTCATCCCACAATTATTTGGGTTTTCTGTCATTAGTGTCTAATGTATCAAATCTGTTCTTGATATGATCTCTAAATTCAGGTAAGACATGTTCAAGATCAAAGTTTAACTCTTATGTTGTTGTTGTTGTTGTCAGGTGCCATCGAGTCGGAACCGACTCATAGTGACCCCATGCACAGCAGAATGAAGCAATGTCTGATCCTGAGCCAACCTCACCATTGCTGCCACACATTAGTCCATCAATGCTGCCACCTAGCCAATCCATCTCATTGGGGGGTCTTCCTCTTTTTCTCTGACCCTCCATCATACCAAGCATGATATCCTTCTCCAGTGACTGTTCCCTCCTGACAATATGTCCAAAGTATGAGAGATGAAATTTATCCGTCTTGGCTTCAAAGGAACACTCTGGCTGCACTTCTTCCAAAACAGATCTTTTGGCTCTTTAATTTTCTACAGCTTTAGCTTGAATGCATATGAGCAATTGAATGCATATTCCACAGTCAGCCCCTGACGTTGATGTGGCTGATGATATTGATTCCCTCCCCACCCCTCTTTTCCCAATGACGGTGTCAGTTAAATTTCTGTGTATTCCATCTAGTCAAATCTATGTGTATTGTCACTTTTTATGTTGTTTTAAAAGGTATTTGCAACTCTTTTTTGTGGTACCAGGGAGGCTGCCGGCTGCTTCACTATGAAGCTGAACATTTCCTTCCCAGCCACTGGCTGCCAGAAACTCGTTGAAGTGGATGATGAATGCAAGCTTCGTACCTTTTATGATAAATGAATGGCCACAGAAGTTGCTGCTGACTCGCTGGGTGATGAGTGGAAGGGTTATGTTGTCCGCATCAGTGGTGTGAACAATAAGCAAAGTTTTCCCATGAAGCAGGGCATTTTGACCCACAGCTGTGTCCATCTGCTTCTAAGTTAGGGGCATTTCTGTTCTATAACAAGGAGAACTGGAAAAAGATAGTGCAAATCTGTCAGAGGTTGTATTGTGGATGCTAACTTGAGTGTTCTCAACTTGGTTATTATAAAAAAAGGAGAGAAAGATAATCCAGAACTGACAGACACAACTGTGCCTCATTACCTGGGGCCCAAGAAAGCTAGCAGGATCTGCAAACTTTTCAATCTTTCTTAAGAATATGATGATATCTGCCAGTATGTTGCAAGAAAAACCACTGAAAAATCCAGGACCCAAATGCCCAAGATTCAGCATCTTGTTTCTGCACGTGTCCTGCAACACAAACATTGGAGTATTGCTCTGAAGAAACAATGCACTAAGAAAAATAAGGCAGAGGCTGCAGAATACCCCAAGCTTTTGACCAAGAGGATGAATGAAGCCAAAGAAAAAGTCAGAAACAGATTGCCAAGAGACGGAGGCTGTCTTCTTTGAGTGCTTCTACCTTTAAGTCTGAGTCTAGTAAAAAATAAAATAGATTTCTATGTGTGACAAATAAACACACTCATATTAAATCTCCTTAAAAAAAAAAAAAAAGTATTTGCAGTAAATAGGACTCCTGGTTTGGCATATAAGATAAGTGTTCGAACACAAGGTTGAATTGAACCACAAGGTCAGTAGTTCAAATTCACCAATCACTCCTCTGAAACCCTATACAGGTCACTACGGGTCGGAACTGACTTGACAGTATATAATGACAACATTATGTGATCTCATGTATCATTTTTATTACCAAGGGCATATTTTCCAACTACTGATACTTCTTTGTTTCCAATGTTTACATTCTAATCACTAATAATTATCAAAACATCTTGATTGCATTTTTGCTCATTTCAGATTGAAGAACTTGGTAGAATTCTTCAATTTCATGTTCATTGGCTTTAGTGGTTGGCGTGTAAATTTGAACAATAGTGATATTAACTGGTCTTCCTTGTTGTTATTAAGTGATATTGAGCCAGTTTCGACCCATAGCGACCCTGTATATGGTTTCCAACAAGCAGCTGGTGTGCTTGAACTGCCGACCTTGTGGTTCAAATAGACTTTGGAGTCCATCACATTAACCCACAGCACCACACCAGGACTTCTGGTCTTCTGTGTAGGAGTGTAGATATTATCCTATCACAGACAGCATTACACTTGTAGATAGATTTTGAAATGTTCTTTTTGATGATGAATGTGATACCATTTCTCTCTAATTTATAATTTATGACATAGTAAACCATGTGATTGTCAGATTCAAAATGACCAGTGCCAGTCTATTTCAACTCACTAATGCTTAGGATAGTGATGTTTATGCGTTCCATTTCATTTTTAACAGCTTCCCATTTTCCTAGATTCATGCTTCATACATTCCATGTTCTAATTATTAATGGATGTTTACAGCTATTTCTTCGCATTTTGAGCTGTGCACTATCAGCAAATGAAGGTCACAAAGGCTTTATACCATAAAGATCACAAAATACTCTGTGTCTGGATACAGATAAACTTAGAATAGGCATCATCTCCTTGTTTTAGAATTGGGACTTGCAGAATGTCTTTGATTCTTGTCACTGTAATACTGTCTTTGATGTTTGTATAACAAATGAAAACAAATATTTTTGGAAATATAAATATCTCTACATTTCTCTGCATTTTATAAAATGTGGATTGTTGAAAAAATAAGAGATCTGGGGAAGACATTTAAAATTCCACATCTTTCAAATGCACTGTTGGCTGCAACACTGCTAGTATTAGCTACAATTACACTGTACTTGACATTGCCTTTACCCTTTTATGTAGCAGCATGTGTGTCTCCTGACCCACACAAGAGAAACAGGATAGAAAATAAGTCATTGCAAACGTAGCTTTGATGTTTATCCAGCCACACACTGTGATAGCACTTCCTCTTTTGAAGTGCTGATGTATAGAACAGGCTAGAAGGGCAAACAGCCTTGCCAACTCTCAGGCAGCAGGACTGCCACAAAAGCTAGTCCAGTTTTTAAAGGCAAATATTTCAATACAACATAGCTCACTTTTTGTGTTCTAGGTGAAGGATTCTATGTATGCTAATTGCACAAGGGGAAAAAATTGCTCATTCTCCTCTGAATTTCACTTTCTTTCTCTCTCCTTTTATTTTACTTTATTTATAGGAAAAACACTGGACTTCCAGTCACAAGGTCAATGGCTGAAACCTACTAGCTGCTCCTTGGAAACCTTATATAGGGTCACTGTGAGTTGGAACTTAATCAATGGCACATAGCAACAACAACAATAAAGACATATGCTTTAGGGGATAGAAATCTAAGCATATGAAACTCTCTAACCATTAAGTTACATGAATCTCCAGCATGGTAACAGGGACACACACTTATACAATGAGGCATCTCCCTCTCCTCTCCTGTCCTCTCCTGTCCTCTCCTTTCCTCTCCTCTCCTGTCCTCTCCTCTCCCGAGAAGTGAGGAAAGTTCATATGTATTAAAGGACCAAAATCCAAGCGTTACAGCCACTCTTCTCTTATACACATCTTCAAATTCAAATGGTCTTAGAATTGGAAACTCATTAAACAAATTGACTTTTTATATCATAGAATATATTTCCCTTAAAAAAACAAAAGACTTAAATGGTGAGAGAACTCGGTGCCTGTCTGGTGTAGCAAAACCCAATTTCTCAACTTAGTTCATTTACCAAGCCTTGGTCTAGAGGTCTCCTGTCTAATGCCAGATTCCTCCACCTCAGTTCTAGAATTCTGTCTTTACAGTTGCTCTCTTCCAAAGTATTAATGATAAGAAATTTTATGATTTAAATGAAAATAACTTTTATTATATAAGTTTTACACTTTTTTATATAAGCTCTTAGACGTTTAAAACACATACTCACAAACAGATAAACACAGATTAGGTACTCAGAATCTTAATCTTAGATAATTGCTAACTATGCTATGCCACACAAGTGTATTTTAAAGCTCTAGTAAATTCAAGTTTGTCTTTAAGCCAATGCCATTTTTTCACTAATAGATTGGACATTCTTTCCTTTGAGAAAATCAGGTAGCTTCTAGAACGTGAGTGTGTAGTTTTTATAAGATCGTTTCTATATTGCCCTAGTAACCAACTATTTTCATCTTAATATTTTATTTCCATAAACCATGAGTCCAAATTAGAGAAAAATATTTTACCGTAATTAAGAAGTAATATTTTCTTTTGTGCATTAATTTATAAAATATTCAAAAAATATTACAGCATTAATAGAGATTTTTAAGACTAATATTGTTATTTAGGAAGGTAAGTTTTTGTACTCATTATCAAGATCTTCTCAAAGTATATGTAATAATACTTTAATATGTAAGATCCTCTCAGATAAATTATAAATTAACATTGACAATTATGTACCAAATGATACCTGAAGTAAATGCCTTTGCAATCTAATTTATGAAAAATAATATAAATACAGAAACTTAAAATGCTATGATTTTCATATTTGATTGCTATTATTAAAAGAACATACTTACTCTTCCATGTAGATTTTCCTGAAAGAAAAGGGGGGAAAAAGTGAATTTATGTAAATCCACATATTTGGGGTACTATGCAAACATTATAAAACTTTTATTATTCTACAATGTAAACTAATAAGCAATTTTCATGAATCTGTTATAGAATTGGCTTGATTATTTTATAATCATGTCCCTAACATTTTCTCTTAGTTTTTTTTTTTTAATGCTTTATTTAATGTTAAAGATTTTTTATTTTTATTTCATGCTTTATTTAATGTTAAAGATTGTCTATTTAGATTGTTGTTGTTGTTGTTAAGTACCGTGGAGTCGGTTCTAACTCATAGTGACCCTGCACAGGGTTTCTGAGGCTGCAAATCTTTACAGGAGCAGAACACCTCATCTTCTCCCATGGAACTGCTGGTAGTTTCCAACTGCTGACTTTGAGGTTGGCAGCCCGACTCGTAACCACTACACTACCAGAGCTCCTTTTATTCAGATTATAGTTAGTAAATTTTGATAATTGGCAAATACATTGAATTGAAGTTTTTCTTAATGTTATTTAAAAAAAAGTTTTAACTAGCAGTAGGAGAAATCAAGATTACAAAAGAAATGCTTGATTGGCTTGCAGAAAACTATTATAATGTCTTTGTATTTGTTGTTGTTGTGAAGTGCTGTTGAGTCAGTTCCGACCCATAGTGACCCTGCATAGGGTTTCCAAGGAGTGACTGGTGAGCTTGAACCACCTAGCTTGTAGTTCAAACGGCTTTGCAGTCTTTGTATTTAGTTATACAAATTATAAACAGTTCACCTACTCAATAAAGTAATTGTTGCTAAAACCGTCACTAGGTATTGCTCCCTTATATTGGTTACCTTCACTGGGCTGCTAACCAATCTATCAGAGGTTTGAAGCCATGAACCATTCTGCAGGAGACAAATGTGGCAGTCTGCTTCCACAAAGTCTTACAGCTGTGGAATCCCTATGGGGCAGTTCTATTCTGTCCTAAAGGGCTGCTATGAGTCAGAATTCACCTGTTGGTACTGGTTTTGTTTTGAGATTGTAGCCTTCCCTGACTACCCTGAAAAAAAAAAAAAAAATGTTGTACCTGTCCTCCCTATACTCTTGATCACCATTGTCTGCTTTATTTCTTCTCATAGCACCTGTCACTTTCTAATATAGTCTATATCTTATTTAGTTAGCTGATTGCATATATCTCCTCTCTATAAGGGCAAGGTTTAATGCTTGCTTTGTTCACTGCTGTATCCCCAGTGTGGAAAAAGTGACCAGTACAATAAAAACCCAAACAAAACCATTGCATTCATTCATTAGCAATACAAAAGTGGTAAGTATTCAAGTTAAATTTAAGGAACAAAGGTGATAAGTGTTTTTTCTCTAAAAGATGTAAGTGGCTATTTGTTGTTAGGTGTGTAAGGTAACTTTAGCGACCCCCATATAGGGTTTCTGAGGCTATTAATCTTTGCAGGAGCAGAAAATCTCATCTTTTTCTTGTTGAGTGATTGGTTGGCTTGAACCATCAACCTTGTGGTTGGCAGTCCAGTCCAGTGTGCTTACTGGCACTTAACAACAACAATAAATACTCCATAATTGTGGAAAAGAGTGTTCTATATAAAGCACATTGTTTCCTCAGATATGAATGGAGCAGATGTTGCTGTCCAAAACTTCCTTGTTGGGATTCAACCTTTGACTTATGATGATTTTTTTCAATCAGCTGTTATCCAAGTTTTAGGTAATTATTATAAGTGCTGCTGATGAGCTCTTCTAAAGAATTGAAGCAAATTGCACCACCAACACTTGCCCTTCTGTGCATTTCCTTTAAGTTCACAATCTTTTCCTGGCTTCTATGTCCTTTGGAAGTATTACATTGCACCAATGCTCTATGGATCATATACCAGACAATTTTGGGAGAAAATTAGTACAAAAACAAAGTGATTTTCTATACAAACAAGCAGGTAAACAATGTAATCATTTGGAATCAAACATACTTTGAAGTCGAAAGGAAGAAAACACATTAAAAAGTCTGTTTCTATTTCATTTATTTCAGTCAAGAGTAAATATTGTAATATATAATACAGCATAATCATGTTAATGTAAGTATAACATTTTATAAAAAAGAATGTAGAGATTTCCTAGTAGAGGAAATCACAAGATACGGAGTAGTGACACTACATTATAATATGTTCCTTTATTTGCTCTAAATTTTAAAAAATTTCCTTTCAAGGGTATAACTTTCCAATTTAACTACAACCTAGAACAATTCAAGAAGGAGCAAGTTAAACTGTTTCCTTTTAACCTTTTATGGGATAAATTAATTTAATATATCTTCTACCCCACTTCCTATCCTCATGGGATTATTACAATTCAACTAACAATTAACAAAGGTTTTACTATGGCTATTCCTTGAATGAATTCCTGGTGTGGCACTGTAGGATCAGCACTGGACTTTGAGTCACAAGATCAGCAGTTCAAAACCACCAACTACTCCTCAGAAACCCTATACAGTGTCACTATGGGTCGGAACTGGCACTTAACAACAACAAAAACAACACTCCTAAAGTATCATAGTCTTTGTTCAAACATGATGCCACCAGACAAGGAACAGAAAGCATTTCCAAGGTGATTTTAGTTTTCACTTACACTAGCCCATTAGAATATGAAGAATTATAAAATTAGATAAATTGAGATCTATTACTTTAGGTTTTTCTCTGCATCTAGATGACTAGAAGTTTGAAGTTTTCCTGCTGAGGATGATGGTCTTGATTGTTGTTGTTGTTGTTAAGTGCCATCGAGTCGGTTCAGACCCACAGTGACCCTATATAGGGTTTCCAAGGGGTGACTGGTAGGTTTGAATCAACAATCTTACAATTCAAACTGACTTTGTGGTCTAGTGCATTATCCTGCAGCGTTACACCAGGAAGAATAAAATTATAAACGTATTTATAATAGCTAGACTTGACGTAAGAAATATATCTTCCCTCGATACAAAAAGTTAGCAAAGACCCTTCATTCTTTTTCTATTACAAAATAAACAGATTTTTAGAGCCTGTGAAACACAGAGGAGAATTGGGAGGTATTTATAATCAGAAACACAGAGACAGGATGCAGCAGACAGGCTATTCTAATTATAGCACTTGCATTTATAGTCACTCCATTTTTCACTTTTCATAATGGATCAGGGATCTTAAATAACCCCTAAAGAAACTAAGCCATTGGATCCTTAGCAAATAACTTTCATACATTTAGAGACTGTATTAAAATAACACTTCATGTTTATTTTATGGGTCGGAACCGACTTGATGGCACTTAACAACAACAACAACAATGGGATTCTGGATCACTAAGGAGTCTCACTAAGGTGCTCTGGTAGTGTAGTGGTTACGAATCGGGCTGCGAACCGCAAGTTCAGCAGTTGGAAACTACCAGCTGTTCCCCAGGAGAAAGATGAGGCTTTCTGCTCCCATAAAGATTTACAGCCTCAGAAGCCCTGTACAGGGTCCCTATGAGTCAGAACTGACTCCACAGCACATAACAACAAAGAGATTCTGTAAATATTCCTTGTTGAAGAAATAAAAACTTGAAGCTTTCTAATACATTGGCCAAAGATGCAGATGTGGTGTTTGTTTCTGGATTGTTTTATTCTTTTCTTTGTTTTTGTGCTGTTCGGTGCTGTTGAGTTGGTTTCAACTCCTAGTGATCCTATGTCCAACAGAGTGAAACACTGCCTGTTCCTGCACCAATCTGACAATTCTTGTTATGTTTGAGACCATTGTTATAGCCACGGTGTCAATCTATCTCATTAAAGTCTTCTCTTTTTCACTGACCTTCAACTTTTCCATGTCTGTTCTTCAGGCACTGTTCCCTCTTGATAATATATCCAAAGTACACAAACTGAAGTCTTGCCATTCTTATTTCTAAGGAACCTTCTGGCTGTACTTCCTTCAAAACAGATTTGTTTTTCTGGTGGCCGATACTATGCTTAATACTCTTCATGAACTCTGTAATTCAAAGGCATCAATTCTACTTCAGTCTTCCATATTCATTGTCCAGCTTTCACATGTATACAAGGCAACAAAACAACCATGGCTTGGTCAGATCCACCTTTTGTCTTCAAAGTAACATTTTTCCTTTATTTACTTTAATAAAAAGAGATCTTTTGCAGCAGATTTGCTCAATGTAATATGTCACTTGATTTCTTGGCTGCGTTCATGGACATTGATTGTGGATCCAAACAGAATGAATTCCTTGACAACTTTAATATTTTCTCTGTTTATCAAATGTTGCTTATTGGTCCAGCTGTGAGAAAGTTTATTTTCTTTATGATAAGGTAAACTCCATACTGAATACTGTAGTTTTTGCTCTCTAAGAGCTTCAAGTCTTCTTCAGTTTCAGCATCTGTACATTGTAGGTTGTTTATGAGTCTTTCTCCAGTCCTGATGTCACATTCTTCTTCATGTAGTCCAGCTTCTCAGAATATTTTCTTAGCATATAGATTGAATATATAAAGTGAAAAGGTACAACCCACAGTTTACCCTTGCTCTGTTTGAACAACTGGCTCTTAGTCAATATACAGGTCTGCATAAGCACAACTAAGTATTCTGGAATTCTCATTCTTTGCAATATTATCCATAGTTTGTTATGATCCACGTGGTTGAATGTCTTTGCATAGTCAATAAAACACAGATAAACATCTACTTTGGTTTCAGCCAAGATCTTTTTATATCAGCAATGATATCCCTCATCCCAAGTCCTTTCTAAATCTACCTTGAATTTTTCATAGTTTCCAGTCAATGTATGTATGGCTGCAACCATTTTTAAACTACCTTCAGCAAAATTTCACTTGTGTGTGATGTTAATTCTATTATTTGACCATTTCCACTTTCTGTTGGATCACCTTTCTTTGTAATGGAAAGAACTATGAATCTCTTCCAGTCCGTTGGTTGGTCATGTAGCTGTCTTCCAAATTTCTTGGCATAGACCAAGTAAGCACCTCCATCTCGGCATCTGCTTGTTGAAACACTGG